TAAGTCCTGCCCTTCCTCAGTATCTTGGTGGGTCTCTGTGTGTTATTATTGGCAGGACCCACTTGTCAGATTTGTCTCCTCTAGGACTGAGGCCATCAGACTACAGGAGAGTGGGCAATATGGAACCACAGAGTCAAGCAGCTGAGGCCTGGTATCTGGGACTTCCTTCTACGATCACCTGACACACTGAAGGCCCCTTTCCTTGGCACCCAAACTCAGCAGGAAGTAGTCTGGTCTATTCTATGCCTGGGCTTCTAACCGCAAGATCTGGGCTTGGAGAGCAGGGAATGAAAGGAAGCTCCGGTTTCCCCTTCCCAGGGCTCTGCTGAGGTCTGGGAGCTCACAGTTTCTCAGAGCCATAAACTACACCTCGGTGAGATGACAGTCTGTACTCAGACCAAAGAGCACATCAGTATCTAAGAGATTTTAAACAGACAATCCCGCACCAGCCTAACTGGAAACGCAAAGTGTTCATCTTACCTTAAGAACACAAATGGGCCCTAAACTAACAAAACGGCTCTGGAAACAAATGGGAATTCTCTGATAATCCTTTGATAAGAAACACAAAGACTCATGTTTCCTATAACCACCCCTCCAACCACCCCTCCCCAGACACAACTAAGAATTTCTTTCTTGTCTGATTTTCAATAAACTTTTTTGTTTTTTTAAGAAAGAATTTTACAAAGTTAAGTACAAAACGTTTTGTTTTATTTTTGTTTGGGGGCACACCTGGCAGTGCTCAGGGCTTAATTCCTGGGTGTGCATTTAAAGATCACTCCTGGAGAGGTTCTGGGATGCCAGAAATCAAATCCAGATGGACCCCATGTAAGGCAAGCATCTTACCAGCTGTACTGCACCCAACCATGAATTTTGTTTTGTCTGAATCCCATGTGGAAACAGGCAAGGTCAGGATATCTATGGTGGGCATGCTGACTGGCCTCCTTCACAGCCAGTAAGTGTCGGATCAGCAAGGCTGCTCCGCCAGCAACTTCAGAATCAACCTGGGGCTGAAGGAGAGGTCAGTTAGGGATAAGGACAGAGCTGCTACTTCCATGGGACTGAGCAAGTTGGATTGTATGGACTCGGGCGCCGTAGGATACAGCAGGTTGGAACACAGGAAAGAGACGTTTTCCCTCTTGTCTGATGCAACGAAGCCCCACCCCATCCTTGGCGCAAGTCACTGTACCAAAGGAAAGTGACAGCCTGACATTTTTGCCTGTTCTAACATCGGCCGCAGGTATGGTATCTCCACTCACGCCCTCTGCCCAGGTCCCGGGGGCCAGTCTTTGGGGCTCACCTTTTACACTCGCCAGTGTACAGAGCAGGAAGTCACATGGCTCAGACCCAAACTCCTGGATCTCAGGGTTTCCGGGCCCCCAGTGCTGTTCAGGAGAAAGTCAGGTCAGTGTGGGAAACCTACAGCCCAGTTCAAGGACTCGGGGGGTTGAGGGTGGCAGTTGTAGGGGAGGGTCTTGGACCCCCTCCTCACATTCAGTAAGTGGTCTGGAGCAGAGCCAGCTGTTCTGCTAGGATGACTTGGGGAAGGGTGACCACACTATCTAGGCCCCCAGCCCTGTACACACCCACAATCCTCTCTTCTCATCTGATTTTCTCCAGTTCTTTCCAATCTTTAACCTCTGAGACAGCCCCTGTCAGAGCCCTCAGTCTCATCTGTGACTTTCGATGTTCCTTCCACAGAAAGGGCCTTTTCAGTCACTGCATCCTGCCAGGGCTGGTTAGGGGCCTCCTCAGACCCCCTCAGTGCTCGCTCACTCCAGCTCAGTGAGGGTTCACCAGGCCCAGTTGCTTCCGTCCCACCTCAGAGCAGTGTAGTCCTCTCAGTGCAGCTGACCCCAGCCATTCTTACCCTCCCCCAACCACCCCCGGAAACTGTCCTCTGGCCGGCAATTCAGTCTCCCCGTTACTCAGATCTGAGCTGAGGATCCCGCCCCTGCAACTACTTCATTCTTGTCCAACACTCTAGTGCCAGGGGCCTAGAAACTTCCATTCTCTGAGGCCACCTCCCTCCCCAGCCACCAAAAGGGTGTTCACAGGCCACTCTGAGCCTAGGTCCTGTGGCCAGTCCAGCCCTTAGCTGCACAGACAGCTCCCCACTATCCCTGCTGGACAGCCCCTCTCTCCCCAGCCCTGGGGGCATCCCTTCTCTTTGCTTAGGTTTATTCTAGAAGTTCAACTAGGTGAGTTTTTCTAGAAAGGGTCCTGCTCTTTCTTTCTATGCTACTTCCTGTCCTCTATCTGACACACACACATACACACACACACATATGTGTGTGTGCAGATACAGAGATACACACTTGCACACACTGGGCCTCTCGTCCATTTCTGTGAGGGGCTTCAGAACCAGGCTGGAGCGATAGCATAGTGGGTAGGGCATTTGCCTTGCATGCAGCCGACCCGGGTTCCATTCCTCTGCCCCTCTCGGAGAGCCCAGCAAGCTACCGAGAGTATCCCACCCACATGGCAGAGCATGGCAAGCTCC